ACTCTAACACCCCTCACCCACCTGGCACCCTACACCCTCATCTACCTGGCACCCTACACCCTCACTCACCTGGCACCCTAATATCCCTCACCCACCTGGCACCCTACACTCTCACCCACCTGGCACCCTATGCGTTATCCTACCAAGCACCCTAACCTTCAACCACCTGGCACCCCACACCCCACACCCACCTGGCACCCTAATATCCCTCACCCACCTGGCACCCTAACACCTCTTGCCCATGTGACAGCCTAACAACACCCATCCTTTCCTTCTGTACCTTTGGAAGCTGTTAGAGAGTGTGCCTGTGTCGCTGGATATTGAAATAGGGATACAGTACACCGACTGCTGCAGCGAGGCAGGTGGATTGGAAAATGATCCCGTCCCCTGCTCGCTGTCAGATCCCTGCATTGATCTCTGCTGTTTCATTACAGAAAGTTCCTGTCCACAAATGCTCAAAGGGCATTGGACGTCATCTAAATATATGTGTTTTGTCTCGTCTGATCACTGTTGGAAGTAGAGTTTCCACCCTGGTTGGAATTTCCTGACGGTAAAACAAAATCATCTTTACAGAAATGGCTCATTTCTCATTTTTCACACCAACCACTCCTTTGACGGCAAATGATTCATCATTTGCAATTCCTTATTTTTATGATCCTGGCCACTCGTCAAGTCAGAGCCCACAATGAAATCTGGCTTGATAGATCAGCCGTTTATTCTTTTCCTTGTTTCATTAGTGAACATAGTGGTCAGTCATTGAAACATATTCACATGAAGCTGGTTTGAACGACAGACTGGAATGTAAGTGAAGAATAAAAGAAAACCAGTTATCTTAATATAGAATTGTAGAGTCACCGAGGTCTACAGCGCTGAAAAAGACCCTTCGACCCATCCCATCTGCGCTAGTCAAAAACAACAACCTAACTATTCTAATCCCATTTTCCAACACTTTGCCCATAGCCTTCTATGCTTTGGTACCCCAGTGTAAATCTAAGTACTTCTTAAATATTTCTGCCTGCCCCACCCTTACAGGCAGCAAGTTCCAGATTTCCATCATCCTCTGGGTGACAAAGCTTTTCCTCACATCGCCTCTAAACTTTCTGCTCCTTACATTAAATCTATGCCCTGGTCTTTCATCCCTCCATCAATTGGAAAAGTCTCTTCCTGTTTATCCTGTCTACACCCCTCATAATTTTATACATCTCAATCATGTCCCCTCTCAGTGTCCTCTGCTCCAGTCAGTCCAATTTCTCTTCGTAACTGAAACTCTCTATCCCAGGCAACATCCTGGTAAATTTCCTTTACGTCTCCAGTGCAATCACCTCCCTTTGTGTGCAATATAGTTAGCAAGATCTCAAAGCATATGGCAAAACAAAGTTTCAACCTTGTTCCTAACTCCATTACAGAGACTGGAGTGCAGAGAAATTATAGCTCTATCTCAAGTCTTTCAATTTTCTACTTAACTGACTCTTTGCAGTTTAATTGCCCTGGAATGTGAAGCCAATTCTATATGTCCTTTCCAAGTCTGACTGCAGGGACCATTCAAAAATCTGAGCCTAAAATTTCTCAGTTCCGATAACCAGCAGAGTTCTCACCAAACTCTCCTGGTTTAGAAGATTTGTAAACAAAACCTTCTGCTGGTAAATATTAAGTGTTTTTAACGTGTCTGTTACAGAGGTCAGTTTCTATGTGACCTGCACAGGGACATTTGGGGAATAGAGAAAACATTGTCCACAGTTAGCCAAAAATATCCCATCAACAGCCTGAGCAATTCACTGAATGGAGCTAGCTAATGGTTTTAGTTGTACGATATAAAGTATAATCTGTCCCCAATTTCAGGTAGTAGATGAATCTGCATGTCAACATCAATTAAAGCTGCTGTAAAAGCCATCCAAAAACCACACTAAACATATCACACCTGGCTGAGATTTCCTGGGATGGTGGTGATGGGCTTGGTAGCTAGTAGTGGGGAAACACCACCCCATGATACATCATGGAGCAAGCAGGGAGCCTGTAGACTGTCTGCTCAATAAAGCTGGGTGATTAATTACAACGTTAAGGCACCAGTTAAGGGCAGTTTTGTGACTTGGAGGATCTTATAGAATGAAAGCATCATACAGCATGGGAACAGGCCCTTCAACCCAACTTGTCTATGCCGATCAGGTTTCCTAAACTGAATTAGTCCCATTTTCCTGCATTTGGCCCATAGCCCTCTAAACCTTCCCTATCCATGTACCTGTCTAAAGTCTTTTAAATATTGTGATTGTACCCACCTCTACCATTTCCTCTGACAGCTCACTCCGTGCACACATCACCCTCTGCTTGAAAAAGTTGCCCCTCAGATTCCTTTTAAATCTTTCCCTTCTCATCTTAAACCTACGCCCTCTAGTTTTGGACTCCCCTACCCTGGGAAAAAGACCTTGGCTATTCACCTTATCTGAGACCCTCATGATTTTATTAACCTCTATAAGGTCACCCCTCAGCCTCCGACACTCCAGGGACAAAAGTCCGCCTCGGCACCCTACAGCCTGGAGAACTCAGCGTCGAGTTCCGTAATTTCAAATAACCTTCCCACCCATTCCCTGGCTCCCTTTCCAGCCCCACCTCCTCCCTTCCATTCCACCTACTGATGCTCCCTTCCAGCCACCAAATGGATTCATCCCTCCCATCAACCAACCAGGTTGTACCTACTACCGGTGTTCACGTACCACCCCCATTCTGCTCTCCCCTCTCCCCCCACTTCCCCCACTTTATCTGCAGCTCCCCCTACCCCCACATCCAGTCCTGAAGAAGGGTAATACCTGAAACATTGACTGCTCCTTTCCTCCAGATGCTGCCTGGCCTGCTGTGTTCTTCCAGCCTCCTGTTTGTCTACCTTGGATTCCAGCATCTGCCGTTATTCTGTACCTCCCAGCCTATCCAGCCCCTCCTTATGATTCAAACCTTCCAGTCTCAGTAACAGCCTTGTAAATCCTTTTTTGCACCCTTTCCAGTTTAATAATAGTCTTCCTAAAGCAGGGTGACCAGAATTGTACACAGTACTCCAAATGTGGTCTTACCAATGTCTTGTACAGCCATATTATGACATCCCATCTCCTGTATTCGGTGCTCTGACCCACAAAGGCAAGCGTGCCAAATGCCTTTTTCATCACCTGTAATGGCACTTTCAAGGAACTATGTACCTGTACCCCTAGGCCTCTTCATGCAAAGCTCACCAGCTCAATGGAGGTTGCTTTCCTGCAAGGTCATCAGACCCAAAGGTTTCATGCCTCATTGATAGGACCACAGTTACCATAGATCACAGTTTACCCTGCACCCACTCCAGAAGAAAGCTTTCCATTCTGTTGCAGTGGATATGCTGGCCTGGATCGGGTTCATCATTTCACTGTTGTACAGCCCAGTGAGGGACGTTCCAACCACTAAGCAGCCTCAACTGACCTCCCTTTGAGGTTGGAAAGTCTTTGATCTGGCCTCCTCTTAACAATGTGGCAAAAGTGAGCAATTTTTCGTCACTTCCCGGAACATCGCTGACCTATTCCCTGTGCTGGAAAGTGCGGATTCGGGATCCTCATTTGCCTCTGATATTGTGGTTTTGCAAAATTCATAGCAAATTCCAGCCCCGTAGAGTTATTCCAGAAAAATGAGGACTATCCCACAATCAGCAACCATTCTTAGTTCTCTCCAAAGTGTCAGCAGTCTACTGGAGGTCTCCTAGCTGCCTGCCACACTGCACAACCCAATTAAAGATAGATATTCTCAGTGGTTGCTTCTGGATGGTGTGCAAGATCCAATTGGCACTTTCAAACTATGAAGGTGCTCTTAATTCTACCATTGGGTGGTACGATCTCAATCACCCACTTTGTACTGCATGTCATGTCTTGATGTTTTATTATAGGATTTACTCCATTAAAATTGCAGGAGTTTCAATGAGGAACCCACTGAATTGAGCAAATCCATACATGAGGCACAATGGAGCTAGATCTCAGGGGAAGGAACTGGTAAAATTGTATAAAGATCTGAAACGAAGACAGAAAATGCTGGGGGCACTCAATCAGGAGGGCTAGCAGCATCTGTCGAGAGAGCACACCACTGCAGATGCAGGAATCTGTACTGAAAACAGAAAATGCTGGAAATCACAGCTGGTCAGGCAAGATCTGTGGAAAGATATTAGGCTGGAGTTTATTGTTTATTGGTTAATTGACTTTTTAGACAAGTAGCTCAATGTCTCAAGTCCAATATAGCTGTACTTCAGAAATCGGAGTATTTTGCTGTTTGTTTGGTGTTACCGTGCAGTATTTGTACTCCATTTTAAAGGTTATTACTATTGCCTGACCCTTTGTTATAGAGTGGATGACAGGAACGATAATGCTGTCCTGCAAATCCAAACTTACAACGAAGATGTGGACGCCAAAGGATGTGAGGGAAGGCTGAAGAAAGGAGGGACATCGGATAAGAGTGAGAGGTGGCACCGACCACGCCAGGGTTGGCAGATGGTGCGACACAGAAAGATGGGTCAGAATTGTCGTGACCTTTACAACGAGAGCAACTCTGAATCCTGTCTTATTTAAAGTCCCAAAGATAGCAATCCTTCACATCATCCTCTTCCAGTGCCAGACAGCAACTGCTCAATAGATCACAGACAAACCAACAATTGGTCCTGGTCTTAGCTTTGCTTTCTGTAGATTATTCAGCTCGAGATGACCCCATTGAATTTTTGTTTAATGTAAACTGTAAGATCCAAAGTATTTTTCTCAAGGTTTTTGAGAGGCTCCCATGCCCCATTTATTGATGTGAGTATAACCACTCCTTACATTGCTGCTTAAATTCCCGACTTACCAGAGTTCTAAAAAATATTCCATCATGCGTATTTTTACATACACCTAGGAGACAAATGCCCCTGCTCACCCCTTGTTCAGAAAGGGTACAGAATGCTAAATGGCAGCAGTATATACTCTTGGTGTTGCTGAATGACAGACGCAGCGCTGTGTCCAATCATTGACATCCTCAATATTGAGACTTTGGGCCTGATTTTAACATTCCCTCAAGTGAGTGAGTTTTGACTGTGTTAAAATCAGGGTCAAATTAAACTGGGCTTATGTTACAGAAAGAAAAATGCTCAGTCTCTTTCCTGTAGATGGGTTTCTTCACAGAGTGACCATCATCTCAACTCAAACTGTCAGGGAGATAATGGCCTAGAGCACAGGGAAGCAGAAGGTTAAATTGGGAATGTTACCTTTCTGGCACTTTCTGACCTCCGTTCAGTCCCCATGGCCATAATTGGATTTCTGATCGGCTGTTACATAATCCCCAAGTGTTTAAATTAAACTATTCCTGCGCTCGGAGACAGGCTCAAAGTCAAGGGGATAGGGACAGGTGGAAGACAAGTAACCCTTCAAACCCACTCTATCAGTTAATTAGATCTTGGCAGAGGACTGAGAGTTTTACTCTGAGCCTAATCCACACCATACTTTGCCAGGGAATGATGAGGCAGTGTAGAAAAGGTTTTATTTTATACTTAACAACATGCTGCATATGGAATGACTTAGCATTTACATCACAGAGGCAGACCATTCGGTCCATCTGGTCCATGTTGGTGTTTATGTTCCACTTGAGACTGCTGCAACTAGATTTATCTACCCCCACCCTCCTCCCATATCCCCAGGCTCACTTCATTATCAGGTATACACAAAGCCTCTGTGATGTTCTCTGCTTCAAACCCTCCACGTAGCAGCAGACTCCCCATTCTAACCACTCTCTAACTTCAATTTTAACAACTCCTCATCCAGTCAGACTGGTGTGTTGCTTGTGGGGGTGGGATGGGGCGTGGGCTTTTGTTACCATGCCGAGTCCACTTACTGGCCTGACCCTCATGTTTAGCCCAGACTCCCATTCCAAGCAGGCAGGGGGCCTGCTTTATATTTGTGTCAGTGGCATGTCCTAAACTGAGTATGACCCAACGGCCAAAAGGCAATGGGAGCCACAAACAGGTCAAATGAGAATAAAGGAGACTGCTCAAGATCTCTTTGTGGGAGAACAAGAAGCTGCAGTGCCCTACCCAGCTCCTGTAAACAGACCAAGGGCCCTACCCAACACTGGACATCCCCCATCCAGGACGAAAATTCCCTATCCCCAAATGCAGCTTTACACGCTGATCCCTGATTCCATATATAGGCTCTCCCTCCAAGCCGACACCCTGGGCCCCTCCATAACTGATCTCCAACAGTTTTGGTATTTCTCATGATTGATTCCAGATCCTTCAAGCTTCTACTTGCAAAGTCAGTGACCCTCTTTGCCCAGGATACAACTCAATGACCGTCTTAGGCAGATAAGTGGAACGGAGGCTGTTATCAATTCACTATGTGATCTTATTGAATGGCAGTGCAAGCTTTTCTGCTCCTAATTTTTCTGCTTGTAGATTCTCCATTCACTGCCTGCTTGCACAATGTGATGTTGGTAGTGCCTTTGTTCACAAGGTGAGGCACAATGTGAAGGGCAGCACTAACTCGCAGGGTGCTAGATGGGCTGAGTGGAATTGCAGCAGAAAGGCTTCCTTGAGACAGCTGCCTTACTCTGTTGTGGCACTGTACTCTCCAAAGGGCAAAGACTTAAGCCATTCACCTTCTGTAATACTCTGGGGAATTTTTTTAAACAATAAATTGTTGTGCATTGAACTGAGACATTAGTCAAGTGGTTACACTTTCTTTTGTAATGAGGTAGCACAGACTGTACCTGCTGCACTGAGATCTTATCAAACCAGGAATGAAAGATCCTTGTTTCTTTGGTATGTTCTCTCACGGGATGTGGAATTGTTAGCTAAGACAGCATTTATTATTCATCCCTAATTTCCCCTTGAGAAGGTATTGGTGAGCTGTCTTCGCAAAGCACTGCTGTGCATGTGGTGTAAGGACACCTACAAATTCATTAGGGAGGGAATTCCAGGATTTTGACCCAGTGGCCATGAAGGAACAGTGATATATTTCCAAATCAGGGTGGTGAGTGACTTGGAGGAAAACTTGCAGCTGGTGGTGATACCATGTATCTGCTCCCCTGCCCTTTGAAATGGGAAAGGTTGTGGATTTGAAAACGCTGTTAAAGGAGCCGTGTGAATTTCTACAGTGTATCTTCTGAATGGTACATGAATTAACTCCCACAGAGGTCAGTATCCCCTCACCAAATCACCCTTTGTTCACACATGCGTTGCATTTGACACCGGTCTGGCTTCCTCAGAGCCAGCTCTCAGAGTGAACACAATGCGCAAACTCCACACAGACAGTCGTCCAAGGGTGGAATCGAACCTGGGTCCCTGACGCTGTGAGGCAGCAATGCTAACCGCTGAACCATGACAAATGGCCTGCTGTCTGTGACCAGCACTTTCAGGAGCCCGTGTATGGCAAAAGATGCTTGCAGCTTTTGTATCATTTTTGACATATGAATTCTATGCACATCCAATCACTTTGAATAGGTATTCGCAATGTCTAAGAATATTGAGCCCATGAAATGACCGGCGTTGCTGACATGTAACTGAGTCCAGGGTTTACCCAGCCGGCCCCATGAATGTGAGGGAGCTGCTGGTCATAATTTTTATCCTTGTTGGCACTCTGGGCACTGCCCCACAAACACAGCTATGTCTACATCCAATCCTGACCACCAGACATAACTTCTCGCTAACATCTCCATTCTAGAAATCCCTGGATGACCCTAGTGGAGCTCAGTTGGTATCTGGTGGCACCCTTTGCTGGGGACAATCACTCTTGTTTCCAGTAATAAATTTCCATCCTCTATGGTGATCTGGTCTCTCCGGGTCCAAAAATGTTTCAATTCTGGATGTGATGGCCCAATAGTTTCCCCCATTGTCACCAGCTGTTTCAGTTTTGCCAGGACTGGATCTTTCTGCATCCAAAGCCTGATATTGTCAGCGGTAACCAGAACGGTGCCCAGAAAATTTAAAACGATGACGGTCTCTTCCAATGGCGGCACCACTGGTGATGGATCTGCTAGGGACAAAGAACGAAGAACAAAGAAAATTACAGTACAGGAACAGGCCCTTCGGCCCTCCAAGCCTGCACCGACATGCTGCCCATCACAACTAAAACCCCCTACCCTTCCAGGGACCGTATCTCTCTATTCCCATCCTATTCATGTATTTGTCAAGACGCCCTTTAAAAGTCACTATCGTATCTGCTTCCACTACCTCCCCCGGCAGCGAGTTCCAGGCACCCACCATCCTCTGTAAAAAACTTGCCTCGTACATCACCTTTAAACCTTGCCCCTCACACCTTAAACCTATAATCTCTCTTCCACCCTGGGAAAAAGCTTCTGACTGTCCTTCATAATCTTGTAGACCTCTATCAGGTCACACCTCAACCTCCATCGTTCCGGTGAGAACAACGCAAGTTTCTCCAACCTCTCCTCATAGCTAATGCCCTCCATGCCAGGCAACGTCCTGGTAAATCTTTTCTGTACCCTCTCCAAAGCCACCACATCCTTCTGGTAGTGTGGCGACCAGAATTGAACACAATATTCCAAATGCGGCCTAACAAAGGTTCTATAAAGCTGCAACATTACCTGCCAGTTTTTAAACTCTAGTCCCAGCCGATCAAGGCAAGCATGCCATATGCCTTGTTGACTACCTTCTCCACGTGCATTGCCACTCTCAGTGACCTGTGTACCTGTACACCCAGGTCCCTCTGCCTATCCGTACATTTAAGGGTTCTGCCATTTACTGTATATTTTCCATCTGGATTAGACCTTCCAAAATGCATGACTGTGTTCCAACTTGTACATGTACACACTTAGAATGTGAGCCCACTGCTGAATTTTACCTGAAGCTATGGGTGGCACAGCCTTGTACTCTTTGAATAGCCCTAGCAGAGGTTTGTGTTCTGTTACTATTACAAATTTATATCCATAAAGGCAAAATTGGAACTTTCTCACAACAAAGATGACTGCTAAACTTTCCATCTCTATCTGGGTGTATTTGCACTCTGCTTCAGCCAAAGTCCAGGAAGCATATGCTATTGGGCATTCATCTCCATTGGGCCATCTGTGAGCCAACACTACCCCAATATCATATGGGGAGGCGTCACATGTCAGCACCAGATCTCGCTTGGGATCATAATGAGCCAACACCTTAGACAATGATGGCTGCTTCTTCACTTCCCTAAAGGCTACATCTTGACTTTGAGATCATTTCCAAGGCTGCCCCTTTTTTAACAACTGGTGTAAGTGTGCCAGGATGGAGGCCAGGTTAATTATGAATAAGACCTTCTTGAAAAACTTCCAGGTATTTAGTTCGGACTTCACTCAGGCAGCCATTTTCTAGTTGAAAAATGTTGCGCCAATCAAGGTGAATCTTTCTCAACCAAATTTGCCCCATCAGGCTTGGGCCTGAGCCTTTTATTCCAATCAGTGGTAACTGAACCAGCTGCTTCTCTTAAGAGACTGGAACCAAAGTTGTACCTTAATCTATAACGGTTCCCCGGTATAGGCTCTCAGTCTAACCGAGATCTTACGCAAACTTAAGGGTTGGCATTCAGAGCAAATTTTGCTAAAGGCTGGTTCTGCAATCACTGACACAACCAAGCCAGTAACAACCTCCATTTAACCAGACATTCATTTTGATTGGTTCTGATTTGGATGTTGCTACGCAATTTAATTGTTCCAAACCAGCTGTAGGTGGACCTTCCAGGGTGTGCACTCTCCTGGATACCAGCCTACGAGTTCTCTTACTGAATTCGGGCCTACTGGGACTCTTTTGCCATTTCAAGTCCACAAACTGGCAGCAACCACAATGGCTTGCTGGCCCAGATCCTGAAGAAAATGTTAACCATTTGGCCGAAGCTTTGTCTTGGGGTTTTGCTGTGGGCGGACCTGGAGTCCCTCTGTTCAGGATATGTCCTGAGTGAAGCCATGCAATTGCCTTTCATTCTCTTTTGTTAGAGATGGGCATTGCCTGGCTCTTGGTGGTGTGAATGTTGTGAATTCGCCCAAGACTGAATATTGTCCGGGTCTGCTGCATGTGAAAAAGGGCTGTAAGGGGTCACAAATGATGCTGAACATGGTACAGACATTTATGCTGATGTTGCGCAGTTGTAATACTCTCTCTGCCAACCTGCTGAAACCAGATGGTTCAGCATAGGACAGATGTCAAACCTGGCAAGTTTCAGTACAGAGCTGGAAAATGGCTACAGTATTGGGCATTACAGAGTGAAAAAAACATGTAAGTGAAATAAAAGCATCTTAACAACGTGCTGCAACTCCTCAAGTACATTGTTACCTCTTTATTTCAAGAAAATAGCAAATGAAAGATTTATTTCCCTACAAATTTTGGACTTCACCTGTTTTGGGCTTCAACTGATCACAAAACTCTTCCTTTTGGCTTCAGGTGTACAATATCTGCAAAAGGTATAAACCTAGTCTTGGTGTCAATCCCTGCTTATTTCATGCAATGATAGCCTGAAAGTTGATTACAGTCACAACACTTTATAATGGAAAATGTATTCAGTCAGCAAGCATGTTTCCTGGCAGCAAAGACCTTCAGTCAATTGGCACACTGCAGGGACTTGTCTCTGTGTTCCCTTGGTCACTACATACAGGCAACATAAACTGGCACTTATTTGAATTCAATGGACTAAAATGTTGCAAGGTGCTTCTCAAGAGTGTACACAAGCTCATTGCAATACCAAGCCATGTTACAACAGGTGAGGTCAGTTCTGAGGATGATCTTAAAGGTTGAGACAAGTAAAAAGATGGACAGACTAAGGGTGAGACCTCTGATTGGCTAGAAGCTCTGCCCTGGGGAGGTCCCATTGCCAGCTTGATGTCCAGTGGGCCTTCCCTAGAAGTGGCAGTGGGGATCCCTCATTGGCTCTGCAGCCAGCTGAAAAGAGCACCCCACCCCCACCATCTCAACAGGTTTCTGCCCTGTATGTGACTCCAGGCCCACACCAACATGGTTGGCTCTTAACTGCTCTCTGAAGTGGACTAGAAAGCCACGGGGTTATAGCAAACGGAAGAAGACACCATCTCCTCAGGACCATGGTAAATGCAAAGTAATTTTCAAACCTAATTGAGCAAGGACTTGAATATAACAGAGCAGCAAACCTTCATGATTGAATCTTACTCAATGAAAGCAATCTCCAAAAGCATGTTGGCTATGTGTTCAAGCCATGTTCTCAATGTGTCATGTGATCAATGCTATCCTGCCCAAGGCCTTTTGAGTGTTCCTCTTTTGTGCCTTTAATTGTATAAAATGTAACCTTATCCATCATGTGAAAGATCAACTCCAGTTCCCCTTTAATTGGATGGACAATAAGGCAAATAGAGACAATAACAATGGCCACATTGTGTGAAGGGTTCAGGTAGATCCCAGGATGACCCATTCTGAGGACTGTTTCAGAGTGGCACTTTAAACTCTGTTGACTCTGTAGTTCCACCTGATGACCAAACTTGGCAGGAAAATGCAAAGCCCAGAGACACTATAGAACTCCTACTACCTCTTTAATTCCTCAGTGTCACAGTCACCTCTTGGAAAGCAGAGTTACAGCAGTATCCCAATGAACTTCTATAATACTGACACCTGCATGTAAAAGTGAAATATATGTCTGTCTATGTAAATCCCTCTTTGGCCAACCTCAACTCAGCTTGGTAAGTGGATATTCCTTGGACCAAGGGCT